ACCTGTTGCTATCTAGAACAGTAAGATAATTGTCAAATTAATCAACGACAACTCAGACGGTACACTCGAAACAGAGAAAAACCTGCAATAATCAAATATTTCTCCATCATTTTCATTAAAGTCAATACTTAGCTTAAACTCTTCAAAGATCCCATGACCTAAGAGCATTCACATAAACTAAGGAGAAACTTTGTCAAGCTTTAGTTGCTGGAGCTTAGGATGCAATTCAATGGACAAGACCGTTGTAAATGTCAATTTTTCTCTATATCCATGTGGTTGTTGAAGAGCTAGGGTCCAATTTTTCTTCCTTTTCTTGTTTATTTATTTCCTGTTCTGGAAACTTTCAACTTAATTAATTAATTTGCTTGTGATGTGAATGGAATCACCTATTAGTTTCAAGATTTTTAGAGACCTATACGCACCCAACTTTGAATTAATACTTTCAACTAAGATTGAATTAATCTCGACGTATTAGCATTTTTTTGAAGATAAAGTTATAGTTCGGTATTCAACTTTGGAATTTTTCATATACTTGAAGTCCTCTTTTACCAGTAAAGCTGGACCATAAAATGGGCAAGATCTTAAAGATCAATTTATAAATTTTCAGAAATAAGTGTTTGTATTGAATGAAAGAAATTAATGGCTAGCAATAGCTGAATTGGAGAAGATAATTTGAAAAAACTTATAAGAATCGGGAGACCTAATAACAATTCAATGATTCGAAGGACTTTTGAAATAATTTATAAGAATTGAGGGATCCGTTAGAAATTTTAATGATTTGATAGACTAATTCAAATTATCGAAGCTGTAAAGGACTAATATAAAAAAATATCATATATGTTTGTAGATTTACAGTAAAAATTATAACTCAATAAGACACGTTAATATCAATATGTACTTGTAACATGAGACAACATCTGACTCGTTATGTCTTTCTTAAATTGATTTTAAAATATTCTATAGTTGTACTCTCCAAGCCTACACTTTTTCTAAATGTATGCATCCAATGAATAACATGCAATCACAAGTCCAAGGTAATTTCTTGTTGGTACCAAGTCCAACCACGAGTGGTCAAAGTGTTACATAAAGTTCTCTCTTTCGCACTTTTTGGTAAAGATTAAAATAAGATTATGCATGGGATGATGATTTTCCTTCATACTAACTCTAACAAAAGATTTAAACTTTTGCTGCCTTTATCTTAGTGGGAGTTGGGCTGTGAAAGTAATTATGAGCTAGTGATTTACTTTCGGCATAAAGAACTGCTGAGCTTTCTGCTCAATCACTTGCGTCTCGTGTACTAAGTTAGCACGTAATTATTTCTCAACTCCTAAGTTATAGTTATTATTTATTTCGACTATGTGATACTTTTATCCCCATTCTAGACTATTTATTTGTAGGCGTGATGTCTTTTTCCTCTCTTCAAGTGGCATCCGAAAACTTGATTTAGTCAACTGGACATTTATTGGGTTTGATCAATTAGACATGATGATTTACATAACACATATTTAGTTATATCTAGATTAACCATCTAGATAAAATGATAGACAACAAAATAAGCATAAAATATGAGCTAAGTTGCATACATTCTCAGTTGTAAATATAAAATGTGTGACTCTTGTTGCAAGCTTATTTAGTTCCCTAAGTTCTATAGAAGAGGATAAACCCTATGTAGTTTTATTGGTATGAATAGACCCAAGTTGCTAATATCGTTGACTCTTCAATGAGTTAATGCCAATAACAGTTCATCGAGAATGTCTTTTTTGCACAAATATAGCGCTATAGATGATCTACTTGCAGTCGTTATGCCCCGCACATCACGGGCAAATTTTCTCGGCTCTAGGGCTTTTGTCTCCCCATCATGGGAACGAGGCATACTTATGGTTAATTGATTTAAAACTATAAAGACAGAGATGGGATTTCCTAAGATTAGGTCATATTTTTTTTTCTTTATTTTTTTTAATTTTTTTATAACAGAATTAGGTCATATACAACTTCAAATATAATTGATTATTTGCTTAAGAATACAAACAGTTTAGGGTTAAATTTAGATAACCCCTCATTTAATTTGTATATGTCCGAGGAGCATCTTGGTCTTTCTCCTCTTTTTCACTCTCCTCGTCTTGATCATCATGCAAAAATTCAATTAGTTTGTTTATGTCTGGAGATTATCTTGGTCTTTGTAAGCCACGTGCTCATCACGTGACAACTGAGACTTAACTATATTAGTTATGGGGTTAAGTGAGAAAATTTCGAGGGGTTAAGCAAGCTTTCAAACTTGATGGAGCTTGCTCAAATTAAAATAGCTGATCGGGATTTTCTGAGACTCCCCTTCCCTAATAGGTAAGAGAGACTTTACAAAATTAACTCTAAGAATTTATAATTGAGTCGAATTTAAAAGACTTGGAAAAAAATTTAGTGGAATTAAAAATTTTGGGGGAGTGATCTGCAACACCCCCACTCCCCCACCCCCAAAGTTGGGAGAGCTTA